ATGTCCTGCTCTTAATTAAATGCATAGTTGAGCCAAAAATAGATTTAAGAACAGGATGTGGCTTTTAAAAGTGTGAGAAAGTATTTCAAATAGAATAATTAATTAGGAAGAAGTTTTATAGCAGAGAAACTAACATAAAAAGATTAATTGAAGCTTTTTATGTTACATATATATATATATATATATATATAATCTTACCTAAAAGGTTTTTAAGATCTTCTTAGATTTTTTATTTCTTTTCTCTACTCAGTTTAACTTTAACTTGGAATTGTAACTTCTTGTAAATTTTCCAATCCTACTCATGAATTTTCTTACATTTATCCCTTAATCTCTCCACGTTCCTTAATCCACGTCCCTTAATCTTGCAAACTCGATTTTTAGCCTCCGTAATTCAAGTTTTAATGTGCTCAATTCAACGTTATTCTTTTAGAGAGAATGTGCGGTTTTTTCGTAATTTATATTTTCCTAAATAACGAGAAAATTCCTCTTCTCTAAAATAATAATTTTACTAAGAACAAAAAATTATAACAGCGTACCAAGGAAAAGCAGGAAGCAGTTTTTCCAAAATCTATATTTCACAGAAAATAAAGTCCACCGTTAAAATACGTATTTTTTTAGTTGTGTAATAAGGATATGTTTGACGCGAATGTCTGATTTGTTAACTAATTTGCTTAAAGAATTGGTGTCTGCAACCTAAATTACTGATTCATATTTTATATTGTTTGGAAAAAATTGCTTTCCTGATTTTTACTGTGATTATAAATATCAGTGTTACTGAATAAAACATGGGGGTTAGTGGTGACTGGTTAGTGGTCTACACCAAGTATAGTGTTGAAAAACATTCTGGGTGTTTCCTTTGCATCAAAATTTGTAAACGATTTAACTCACAATTTCTGGATTTTACACCAGAAACTAATTCTATCCACTACTACCTAAAATGTGTAATAGAGGATTTAGTCTCAAAAAATAGTCTCAATTTTTTTTTCTAATTTGAAAAGTTTAAGGTTCACCATTTCTGACTTTAAAAAAAAATAGAAAGCTTACAAAATAACAAAAAATGTACGATATTTAAAATATTGTTTAAATTCAGTTGTATGACATCTGGCCGTGTAAACTAATGAAGAATACTACTGAAATAAATGCAATCTAATTCATAATTTAATGAGGATTCATTACTACATAACAATCGAAGGATTAGAGAAATTATTTGGCTTCACAGTAGGGAGCTTTACCGGTGGTGTCCAAGAAATAATTGAGCTGATAGGGTGGTTTGACAGCGTGGAATCCCATCCTGTTCTTGTATGGAGTGTCCTTGCATTGACGATTCTTATATGCTTCGTAGGAGAAGCATGCGTATGAAGTGTACTTACAAGTATTGATGGAAGACTTAAAATTGTCCAGAACTCTCCTGTGGCTGCATAAGGGCCCGGACTGAAGACCAGAGTAGCCACGAGCTATAAATAAATAATAATGAAAAAAACTCTTGCATTCACCATACATAAAAAAAAACTCTACCGGAAGTCGTGAGATTTTCTTCTGACGTCATAGCATTGACGCGACTACTTCTTTTTTCACGTTCCTGGTTTTTTTTGTATTTACATGGAATATTCAGTTGTTCTAAATTTAATTTTTATCTCGTGTTTTTGTGAAAATATGTTTTCTTCGTATTTTAAAATATCAGATGATGGTATGAAAAAAAAAAGTACTTTGGGAAATTATCCTATATTCATATGCAATTACGAGATCGTTGACATGCAGATTTGAGCAATTTAGTTTACGCGAGCACTACCTGAAACTCAGGGCTGAAACTGCTAATGAGAGTTGAAGGAACTTCTACAAATACTGCCCCCTACCGTTGAAGACGTGAAACACAGACGGGAATAAGGTGAATACTTCGTTGCAAATAAAGAAAAGACTCTTTAAGATTTAAGTAATCATAAGACAAGCTCTTTAGAATTTAAGTAATCATCCGCGACTGTATATAGTTCCGTTTTATTTCGTTATCAAATTCTACAACTATACTTTCAAAAAATAGTATAAAAACATTTAAAAATTAAGCACGTCAGACAAAAATTTAATTCGTGTTATCGTTTATGATATATATCATAGAGTTATTAAAAAAAGGTTGTTGTTTCGTAGTCATACTGTAAAACTAGGCTTCGCGATTTATTTCCATAAATGAGGAAAACATTTGTACTTGGAAAAGAAACAACTACATGACGTTACAAAAGCGTTGAATTTGATTTGTTTACAAAAAATAGCGTGACTTATTCTGACATACCCTTAACAAATGAAATACAAAATAAAGAATTTTCACTTTTTTTACGCTGTAGAAAAAAATCGTCTGTAAGGAACAATATTCATTATTCTTTCACTGGTTTCTTTAAATTAGAGCTGACGCGATGTTGATATACGTTCGCGCTGGTAGCTTGGCATATATTTGGGGTGCAAACAGGTTCTCCCCATAAAGATAATGGTTTTTTCTTAACTTGCAACAGAATATAATTCAGACATTTGGAACGACAATGTTCTATTTTCTGCAAAACGTTTAATCCACCATTATTACCAATTTGAAAGGAAATTTTTTTCCTACCTTATTAAGATAGTATAAAGATCCTTTTGTTTTGCTCTGATAGGCAATTAAAAACAAAAACTAATAAAATAAATTAAAATAAGTATTTACAAATTTGTGATTAAGCTAAAGTGATGTCATTTTTTTCTTACATTCATATCCTTAATTACTATTGGAAATAAAAGAAAACTGTTTGAAAAGTAGTTTATCTTTCTAGCTGTCAAATAACATAGCGAATAAACTTCAAAATAACATGTTTTATGTGACGTAACAAAACAAACGTTTTATATAACTTTTCCTTTCAGATATTATATTGAATACCTTCGCCGAAATATACTTTCCAAATAAAGAAATTCAATCCCCACTTCCTTCAGTTTTCATGTTACAATAAATTATTTAATAAAGTTTGAAGGTATGTACAAAGATGAAGAGTACATTCACTAGAAATTATTAAAATTGTTAATATAGGAAAATGACAAGTGTTTTATGCTCGCAAACAATAAGAAAAATAAACGTACGTATGCTTCTACCAATAATTATATAACCGTCACTGAACCGCCAATCGAATTCTGACTTTACGACTATTAATGAACTCTATGGCCTTTTAATTTTGAACCCAACCCAGAAGACAAAGATAACTCTTCGATCAAGCATTGGGTGAAACTGGTGCTCGTGGAGGACTTTTTTGAGGGAATTAATTCCCATTTGCGTTACATGGAGCGGAAAACCATCAAAGCAGCCCACGTTTAGCCTGTGGACAAGGAGATTTATCTATGATCTGTATACCATTGAAGATATTTTAGGTCAGCACTGTAGTCCGTGCGAGCTGGCCGCTGAGTTCGTATCGACGAGACATAGATGGGATTTGAATCCGGTTCACAATATTGGGAGGCGAACACTCTGTCCTCTGAGTCACCACGGCTCGCACACTAATTATTATGCGAATTCCATACTGGATGAAATTGATTAACCAATAAATATTAAAATGAAAACTTACGACGTTTCGTAGGTTTGTATTTGCAGCCTGGTTGACGATTACCACCGTTGACGGTGAAAACAGCGTGTCCAACAATATCATCTGGGCTTGAGCCTTCAAAGAGAAATTAATATATAATAAATTTGTTTAGCACTACGTGGTATATAGGAAAAGCAGACTACATGTTTGGAAGAGTTACGTTTTTTTAATAGAATTGAGTAACTTTAAAATTGGCTAACACGATCAGTAGTGACTGTCTAAGGTACCTGGATATCCAGCATTTATATAATATGAAACTTTGCACCGGGACTGGGCGAGACTGGCTGCAGCGATGCAGTCCGGTCCGACCCGGGCGAGCGTCGCGGCCTTCCTGTGGAATGCCTCAGTGGGCGGCGGACCGACCGTTTCGGCGGGCGACTAACAGTCGACTCAGAACAGGCACGGACTCAGGGAATCCGACTGTCTAATTAAAACAAAACAATATAAAACTTGAGCTATTACTACTATTTTTGTATCAACCAATTAAAAGGATTCTGGTCATATAAATGTATACAAGGTAGGCAATGTGTAAAACCATTTAATGAAGCCGTCCCCTTAAATCAATACTTGTATGATTAAAGCACTCTTTAGGAATTTTAAGATTAAGTATACACATCGAGTTACTTTATTAACTTTTTTTTTTACTTGGAATGCAACCTCTAGCATGAGATAATAATTGCCAACACGCGTTTATTGCTGAGGCCAGGAGACTCTGGTCAGGAAAGGAGTTTTTTTACTGTTAAGCCTACTTCTCTGAAATTGCCAACACGCGTTTATTGCTGAGGCCAGGAGACTCTGGTCAGGAAAGGAATTTTTTTACTGTTAAGCCTACTTCTCTGAAATTGCCAACACGCGTTTATTGCTGAGGCCAGGAGACTCTGGTCAGGAAAGGAGTTTTTTTACTGTTAAGCCTACTTCTCTGAAATTACAGAAATATGAACGACTTTTTAAATAGAATTCGATGTAAAGTGAATAAGCGACATATACTACACATATTTTTTGTTTACATACTTTACTGACTTAATTATTTTTTGTCTGAATACATTTTCCCAGCTCATGTGACAATTGTGGAAGGGGAATTAAGCATAAACTAGTCTGACAAGGTTGTCTCAAATATTCTCTATTGCATACAAGATGGATGGGACATTTAGTTCCCCAGAACTGAAATCAAATGAAAACAGATACCTTGGTCTAAAAATCGCTGCTTTGAGTTTTTCTCCACTATTATGGTCTGTAAAAAGTATTACTCCGTGTATATTTCTTATACTCCCATTCGATGTCCTCAATTACAATTGAAATCACAGAAAGTCAACGTTATCCAATACATTGCAAATAAAAGATGGATTTTAGTGGTTCATTTCTTTCCAAAAGTCGTTCTTTGAATGCTTTCACAACTTATTTAACAAGACAGTAACGTACCTTGAGATGGGAGGTTTAGGCTCAGAGTGTTTTTTTTTAAATATTTTGTTGTAAATTGTTGGAACCAAAAAGCACTTGAGTATATGTGAATTTATATGTTGCACTCAATAAAAAACTGTTTAGTCACAGGAATTTTTATTCACTTTTCAATGTTCATTTTTTTTCCTCGTAAAATTAGACACAGAACACGTGTTAATCGTTCGTAATGCGCATTTTAGAATCAGAATAAAAAATAATTTAAACAAATTATGTACGTTAGTAGTCGAATAGTACAAGCGAGAAAAAAGAACACTGTCGAAGTTAGATCAAATAACAAGTGAGGAAGAGGAGATTCTAAACTTCAATACCAATTTTATTTCAAAACAAAAATTGGTGCTGCTTTTTTTCCCACGTAAACACATACAGCCCTGAGATACCCAAATGAATTTCCCTCTTCGACGTCTTATTGACGTTTTATAAGTTAATTGAGATAATATAATAGACGCTATATAGTTTTGGCATAGGCTATTTCGGCTCTTCCGATTAAAATATACACTCAACTCGAAGAAAATTGTGGCTCAAGCGAAGAGTGCAAATCTAACCATTCAGGATAACTTAAATCTCATTTGGAGAAAAACTTCAGTGGTTTATCTTGCACTTCCGGATTACTTGTGACGTAGGAAAAGGAATATGAGCGTATTTTGCTTACCCTCATAAAGATTTTTCCCTTTATTCGTCTGTATAACATCAACAAAGATAGCATCACTCCTATCTAAACGAACTTCTTTGGGTGCATTATCAAAGTATAGACCTGCTATATCCAAGCCTACAAAATAGAAAAAAATCAAAATCATAAAATTTTATGCCAGGGCTCGAAGTTACCAATTTTTTTATAAGAGTGTAAGATTTGATCTAATTTAATAAATGTTATGAAGTTATCAAATTTAATTGAAATATACTAACTTATCAAATTTTGAATTATAAGAATTTATCAATTTTTGTTTCTCAAAACATGCGAACTGATCAAATTTTAAAGAGCTGATAAAGTGCATAGATATAATCAAACTCTATTAAAATATATAAATACATAAAAATGTAGGATCTTTTATAGCTTTTTTAAGATCTACGAATAAACCTGAAATTTTCAGTTCTCTGTCCGGCAGACTCTAATAACTTAGTTGTCGCTTTTCCTCAAGTCTAATAACTTGAATCACTTTTTCCTCGAGCCTAATGACTTATTACACTTTTTCCTCAGGTCCTAGTGGTGACCAATACTGGTACTATCTTTTTATTCAATAAACAATTTTTGCCTTTTTTTGCTTACATTAAATTAAATTTAAAAAAAAAAAATTCTGTTAGAATCTAGGGATATACAGAGAAAATTCAAGCATAAAAACAATTTGAATATGTGATAAAAGTTTGTTATACATACTAGCTTGACTTCTCCGAGCTAGGAAACTTGATGAACAATAAAAAAAATTCGAAAAAGAAAAGATTGGAAAAAAATGGCCGGTAGTTCATTTAACTTAAGTTCGTTACTTTTTTCTGCTGACTCGCCACGTTTCGAGTAGATATTTTTAGGTCTATCAACAAGCTTACCACGCAAGCAAAATTCGATTAGAAATTATAGAATTTTTGAAAAATTCTTAACTATCTCAAAATATTTCACACCGATGGCTCAGAGGATAGAGCATTCACCATTCTTTAAGGTGAACCGGTTTCGAATATCAGCAATGGCTGGTCGATGCCAAATCCGCACTCTGCTCACTGACTACAGTGCTGACGTAAAATATCCTCAGGTGTAAAGGAATCATGGGCATTGTGATGCCACAATTGGCATAACATATTTATTTCCTATCTTTTAAAATATCTTTGATTACTTAAGCTTTTTTTTTATTAGTAGAATTATATTTAAAATAAATCAAAGACTTAATCTTTAAAAACGAACATGAACATAAAATATTTATCCTTCTCTTATAGATCAATGCGACGGATACTTTTTATTTCATTACTAATGCAGACTTATTAATTCACTGTCGCCTCTAATCGAAAACAAAAATCTATTTATAACTTTTTATTCTAATTTCTAACCGAAAATATGTTTCAGTTGCATGGTTGTAATAATTCTCATAAATTTGTTGGCGAATCGTGATCGCCAAAGTATTATTTTAAACCCAATATTGATATGCTGGTTGGCTTTCTTTTGGCTATGTTATAATTTATTAAATCGCCAATTTTAGATCTCCTACCCATGCTTTCTATGTCCGTTAGGAATAATTATATTCACTTTTAATTTCAAATTTGTGGGTAAAAAATGTAAAAAAATTGTATACCTCACAATTAAGAATGTTTTTGACTGTTATTTAAAAAATAATAAAGATTTATCAAAATGTATGTCTTGCTTGGAATTATCTTCGGATAATTCCAAGCTGTCCTTATTAATATTACTATGCAAAACTTATTCTACTGAAATTCTTATGAATGATATATATATATTTGGTACCTCGAGCTCTACAAATACTACTAAATAAAAGCTTTTTTTTATTAAATATGATCCGGTTCAACTGTTAATATTCATCACTCTTCTGTTTTTATCGCAATCTTCAATTTGTCAGTATTCTTCAACTAGTCCACTATACTATACTAATACTAACTCCACCCACATCTTAATATCCCACCATCTCAACATAAATGGCACCCTGAATCTTCCTTTCTCCATAAAATGTTTAAAAGGATAGAAAATAAATATGTAATGCCAATTGTGGCATCACAGGCATGTTTTGAAAATTTTCGTGGTTTTATTCTCCATGTAACGCAAATGCGGGTTAGTTTCAGCAAAAAGTCTCCCACGAAGGCAAATCTTTCCAACTACTTGATCCAGGAGTTCCCTTGTCTTCCAGATTATGTTCAAAATTACAAGGCTACGAAGTTGAATATTAGTAGTCATAAACTCAAAAATTGGGTCAGCTGTTCAACAACGATCATAAAGATTTCAAACAAACAACTGCTCTGTTTAAAATAGCTTGATCTCAGAAAACTAGTTTTTGGAAGCATGCAATTATCATTGGATAAATTCTTTTTTTCCAAATAATTTTCCCTAAAAGTTGACAACAAGAAAATTAAACCAGGACTAGATTGCTTTCATTGAAATAGTGGTAACAATTAATTTAATGCACCGTGTCTATTTCCTGTCCAAAGAAAGCAATTAAAACAGTCCGAAAATCGGATTTTCATCGTTAACAAACTTTGAATTAATTTTCTCATTTAGGCACTCTAACCAGTAATGGTTTTATATTATTTAATTTTATAACCAACCTTGCGCTGTCAAGAAGTAGTTTTTTATTTTATTTTATTTTATAACCGTCGTTAAACTGCCTACTCATTTTTTGGGTTTACGAGTACTGATCTCCGTAGCCTTGTAATTTTAAACCCAATCTAGAAGACAAGGGAACTCCTGGATCTGCCTGTGGGAAGTGGGAGAAGATTTGCTTTCGTGGAGGACTTTTTGTTGAAACTAACACGTATTCGCGTTAAATGGAGAGGAAAACCGCGAAAACTTTCCACGGTTTTCCCGGCCGAAAGGGGATTTTAACCCATTATCTGTAACCACTGAGGATATTTTACGTCAGCAGTGTTGTCGGCGCAAGCCGAATGCGGAATTCGTATCAATCAGTCATCGCTGGGATACGAACCCGGATCACCTCACTAGAAGGCGAGCGCTCTATCCCCTGAGTTATCAGGGCTTAACCGGTATTGGTTGTGGCATTCTTTCCTAGTCAGAACTCATGATTCCCATGCCCCCGTTAGGTTCATGCCACTGTCACTGTTCACCAATCAGGACCCGAGCCAAGCATTTAAATTAAGAACTAGTAAACTAGCCAAATATCAAAAATATTTTGCCTGTTTTTGAAGGTCTTCGCTAAATGCAAATCTTAACAAATTTTTATAATTAGATTTGGACACGATACTAAATGGTTTTGCGGCGCATCTACCGAAAATAACTGTAATCGAGAAGTACTGATTTTTTTAGAAAAATTTATTTTAAATTTCAATTTCTTTCGAATAGAAAAAAATCATTCGCCAATACTTTCGACCAAACACAATTTTGTTCGCCAAATTTACGATTTTATAACATTTGGCGAGGTCGCGAATGCTTAGCGTGGGCTCTGATAATTGTGAGGTGTTTCAATAATTTATAAATTATTTGTCTTATTAGAGTACTTTCTTAAACTGAATCGATCTGGTTTTGAAACAAGGCATCTTATCTGAGGCAGTTTTAATTTCCATACCTGTTATTCTGCCCAAATTATTAATTCTCTCTCCAACGTAACTAATCAGCTGACCTCCAAGGCTGTGACCAACAAGATGGATGTTTTCTGGCTCCAATCCAGTTTGATTCTATACAAATAGAAAGGATGAACTTAACATTTTGTTGACTGGCTTTTTTATACAAAAACTTTATCGTATCACCGGCTATTTCTGTCACTGAATATGGAAGTAAAGTGAAATATTCTAAACGATGCGCCAAGTTTTTGCAACATTCTATATCACCCTGGATTTCATAAGTCGAAATAGATAATGCAAGATCAATGACGAGTTAACTCGTCATCGTTCAATAATGTTTGGGATTGAAAAGACGAGTTAACTTGCCGAAGAATTTAACATTTTAATGAGTTTTGGAAAAATCAATTTATCAGAGGAATTTCGAAATTTTTAGGTAAACATGTGTCCCACGACTCTGTAGTACTTTAGTCATTTTTCTTTCATTTTAGAATCAGACTTAGTTTATAATACCGTTTTATTTCACTAGGTTAAGACTGCTTTTTTAAGAGTTAATTTACAATTTAAAGTAACGCCATTCAGAGCGAATTAAATTTCTATAAATGCAGCGATTCAGTCTTTTAAGTTAAAGTTTCGTGCATCTGTGTAAATGGAGTTAGATTAAAACATGAAGAAATTTGTGATTTTTCATCTAAATAAAGTTATTTTGATATTAGGACCTGAGGTACATCTTCCTCTTGAATAAAGCCTCGTGAAAGAAACAAAATGTAAAGAGTTAAGTGTCAACAAAGAGTAGAATATAAAGCAAAATATAAAGTATAAAGTAAAGCATAAATAAAAAATTAAGGAGTATTTTAAAAGAAAAATATAAAGTAAAGCGTAAAGTATAAAAAAGTCAAGCGTAAAATATAAAGTATAAAATGAAAGTAGCACAATATGCAGTATGTAGTAAAATAAAGCGCAGAGTATAAATCAATGAAAGCGAAAAATATAAAATAAAGTAACTTAGTGTAAAATGTAAAGTTTTAAAGTAAAGTAGGGAAAACTTTGACTTAAAGTATAAAGTGAAATACTGTAAAACGTTAAGTAAATAAATATGTATTTGCTTAATACATAGAAAAAGATATATTTGTTTAATCGATTTCAAAAACCTAATTGTAACCCTTAGTCATCTCAGTATAGAGTAGGAAATGTATGTCTTTTGTTCTTAATCCTTGGCGAGAACAATAAAAGAATAGTAGCCAAAACTTATTTCTTATGATACATAACAATTTTTTACATGGCAAGATACAAAATGTGAATCGTTTTAATAGTTCCTGAAAAATAGAGTTTTAAGGAAGTCGTATTTTTATATTTTAGTCATATAAAGTAATTCAAGTCTGTACGTTTTCCATTTTGCGCACTGCACAAACTTAATACGGCTGCTGAGAAGGAGAAAAACAAACAGAAATCCTTTTCTGGAATGCTTTTAAACACTTCAAAATCTCTTTACAGATGTATTAAGTTTGCACAGTGCACAAAATAAAAAAAGGGGCCGATCTGAATTTCCTTTTACGGGTAAAATATAAAATTACGACTTCTTTCAAACTCTATTTCTCAGGAATTATGAAAACGATTTTTGCTCGAATTTTGTATTCTGCCATGTAAAATTACCTACTTTAAAATCATGTAAAAAACTGTGTACCTTGTAATTCAAAATCTTTCCGACTATTATGTAATTGAATAATAAAAATAAAACAAAGAATATTTGCTAAAACTTATTTTTTGGGAGGAATTACCTTTGAATAAACAAATTTTATAATTGTGAGCAAAGATTTTTCAGTTTGCATAAAAATGTCTCTAGATACAGCGCCTAGATAGCAAAAAGTAAACTTTCTAATTTGCTTATTTCGCTAATTTGCATATTTGAAATCCTCCCTCGGGATCGAGTCTTAGAGTGTGAAGATTTAATTATTAGATCAAAAGCTTTTCAGGGTGGTTTGTTTCTTTTTGGCGCACTCTACATATGCAGGTAAAAGAAAAATCTCCAAGACAAGACAGCGAGTCGTCAATAGACCGCTGGCTTGTAAATTAGGATCCCGTATCGGCACTCCTGTATTATAAAGAGAAAAGTGCTTACAACCAACTACTACTCGGGAATTTAATGATTTCAAGAAAAATTAATTATTTTTTTCTGTAACTTTTTCAGCTAGAAATGCTTGTGAACTGAATACATCGAAATAAAGACAGTAAAAAAATATGGATAATGTTCAACTTATAACAAATCATTATGAATGTTCACACAACTTATACCAAACCATTATTAAATGAAGAAGTTTAGCTGTATACGCTCCGACTAATCTGGCGTTGGCAACAGATTGAGCTAGAGTACCGCTACTTTCACGTGACCAGTCGACAATGATTACATTGTAAGAGGAATACTTCAGGAGCTCTTTCATTGTACCCTAGAGGAATGGAAAAAGAACTGTTACATTCTAAAATAGCAACGGGTTGTGATTTTCCAATGCGGAGACTTTTAACGACTCGCTCTTCTGTTTGGCATTTTCGTAAATGACTTGATTCTTGACTTCTTTTTATAGTTTAAGTAACAACTTTTTAAAGAAATAAAAAATAGTATTATAATTGGTTCCAACTGCTGCCAAGTGAAAAACCTCCACAAAAAAAAAANAAAAAAAAAAAAAAAAAAAAAAAAAAAAAAAAAAAAAAAAAAAAAAAAAAAGAGTGAGTCGTTAAAAGTTGCTGGATTTTAAGTTAGCAACAAGGCTCATCTTCTTCTTAAATAAAGGTGCCTTTGAATGTATTCCGGTCATAAATAGATATCCACAAACATGAAATTAGACTTCAATTTCCATTTGACATATACTCCACAAAATACACTGTCAATACTCTATCTTATGTAATTAAAACTTAAAATTAAGTGATGTGCAGGGGCTAAAAATTTTATAGGGTACTCGGTGAAAATTGCATTTTTTTTACCCAGGATACCCGGCAAAAAATTTATTTGTTACATGACCAGTTTCGGGTATCTGGTAAAATTCTTTAATTTTATAAAATTTTAATTTATTGGTGACAAATGGCGTATGAATACCTTATCTTATCTGCAAGATATTGTATTTTACTCGATATGTCAAGCACACTCCTAATAAATTATTCTTCTTTTCAGAAGGTGTACAGGTCGGTACAGATACAACCAATACTGGTTCCTTTATAGCAACCAATTCATCCCGAAAATCATTTTCCCTTTCAGTTGAAAGTTTAGTAAAATTTTTAAAAGTAGAAGAAAATAAGAATAAGTTTATAAAATTTTTCATAAAAACATCATTTTTAAATATTTATAGCTATAAACAGATTTTTGACACATAATATGCTTCATACTTTCTCTTAGTTATTCCTTAATTGCCTCCTACAATGAAGATATTATAAATTATCGTTACTAGCTATGGAAAAAATAGCTACCTAACAATGCTTTACAGTCTTAGAAAAAACTGGTTTTATATAAGATGAATAAAATTTACTATATTATAAATTTTGCATTCAGAATAGCCGTTTCTAGGTTACGTGATTTCCCCTCTCAGTTACCGTGCTATCCAAAAATCTCGATTTTTACCGAAGCCAACACATTGTTATTATATAATAATATACAGCAATTGTTTATTGGTATAACATACACTTGCAAGTTTGTGTGCTCAATGAAGGCTTATAAAACTTTGTCAAGTATAAAGACAATACAGGGAATTACAGTACGAAGATATATACAGGGAAACAGTGAGATTCAAGCTTCACGCAACGTTCAGGTGGGTGTTGCCGTTCATCAACGGCTGTCCTAAATGCAGTTAGGAGTTTCAGATATTCCTTAACTACCATGTCAATAATTTAGAAACAATCCGCCAAGGAGAGTCGCGATGGCTCAGGAGATAGAGCGTTCGCCTTCCTATCGAGTGAACCGGGTTCGAAAACCGGCGATGGCTGATCGATACGAATGCCGAAACCGTCATGCACGGACCACAGTGTTGACATAAAACATCCTCAGTGGTCGACGGATTAAGGGTTAAAGTCTCCTTACCATCTGGCTATCCGTGGGAGGTTCTCGCTGTCTTCTTCTCAATGTAACGCAAATGTGGATTAGTTTTAAATAAAAGTCCTCCGCGAAGGCAAATTTCTCCCAATACTTGATCCAGAAGTTCATTTACCCTTTGGAGTGGGTTCAAAATTACAAGGCTACGTAGTTGAACGTTAGTGGTTGTAAACCCAAAAATTGGGTTGGCTGTTCAACGACAGTTATAAAATCTGCCAAAGAAAGACATAAAATTGACTACCCACAATAACTTTTGTATCTAATGATCAGATTACGAACTTAATCTTATGGTTCGAGGGGGTGACCTCAAATATGCTAATTAATTGACGAAATCGGATAAAAAACGTAGTTTCTTCGAATAAATATTTTTTTCGACTTATTCGGATTTCTGATCCCCAAAATATAGGGGGTAGCCGCAATTTGGGAAATATGGTCCCCATAGTTTGGTCAGGAGAGTGATTAAAAAGTTGGATCCCATAATGTAAATTTTACTTTTTACATATTTCTCCAAATTTGGAGAACTTTTGCAGCAAATTTTTCCTTGCGATTATAAAATTCGCTTATTTCGGTTAATATTTATTATACAATTAATAAAACTGTATTAGTTAAATATTTATAATTTTTTATAATTTAATTAAACAACAGTAGAAAAAATTTTAAATTTCAATGCATACATATTTTTAGCGTCATTTTAAAGTATATAATTTTACATGGCAAAATACAAAGTGGAGCAAAATCGTTTGAATGTTTCCAAAGAAAGCGAATTTTAATCATACGACTTTCTTCAAATTCGATTTCTTAAAAACTATTCTACCGATTACGTTCAAATTTTGTATTTTGCCACGTAAAATTGCTTATTTAAAAATAATGTAAGAAAATTGTATTCCTTACAAATAAAAATGTTCTTGACTAAAATTTAAAAAATAACAAATATTTACCAAAATGTATGTCTTGATTGAAATTATCTGTAAATAAACAAATTTTATAATTGTGTGAAAATTTTTTAAAATTCACTAAAAAAATATTCCGAGTTATAGTGAAAAGCGTAAAAACTGAAATTTACATTAAGGGGTTTAAACTTTAGGCCACTCCCCTATCAGATTATTGGGACAAAATTTATAAAACATTATATTTTGGGAGTCGGAAATCAAAATCCTCTAAAAAATAGGTATGTTTAGTCAGATAAAATATATCTTTTTGTGTCTGATTTCGAAATTTATAATATCGCCTGCACGAATTAATTAGCATATTTAAAGTCAATCCCTCGAACCATTAAGAATGAGTCTTAGAACGTGAAGATCTGATCATTAGATCAATAGTTGTTCAGGGTGGTCCATGTTTTCGGCATACTGTATATGATAGGTTTGTACATTTATTTATATCGCACAAGAGCTGCACGATTGGCTATTGGCGATCGTCTGGGAAACTTCCCTGAGGATAAACAGGCGACCACATGCATACGTCATATCCCGATTTACAAAGAGAACAGTTTCACTGACTACCATCCACATTATGTAGTTTAGACCCGAACCAGAGCACGATCCATCTCCGATCCAGTACCTCCATAGGTATGGACTTGTCGTTCTATGTAAGTTAAAAGTTAAGCGTTGCTGCCTTGTCGCATCGTTACCAAGGCAACGATGGTAGAAAATGAGACCTTGAGATGCCAATTTTAATTAGGAGTAAAATTTTACTCCGGTGCAATTCGAAATGAACAAGAATATTGTGTAATTAACATCAAGATACGTTAATACTGTTGAATCGTGAAGCTTTCTACTGCATTTTGATTGTATCAAGTTAGCACGAACACAATTTTGTTATGCATTACCTTTTCGATAGTGTATATATCTTTTTGGTTGTATTAATCAAATATATCTAATTAAAAGAAGATTAAAAAACTGCTAACTTCATAATATTGAATATGTAAAGATAATACAAATAATAAAATTCTAAAGTTTCTTTACTGTAAAATCTTTTGGGCGAGCTAAATATCCATGAACGAGTACTATTGTTGTTGAATTATCTTTGAAAGGAGACTTTGACAGTGATTCTGTTGTTGGTTTCAGATCATAGGGCTTCTGTTTATTGGAGCGTGTATACAACAGAAACTTCGTGTGCAGTTCTTGCGGCGGTACAGTTACTGGTCTGTACAGAGGATGGTACCAAGGAGGACCGGTATAGAAACATCCCAAATCTCCGAAGCATTTTGTCGTGAAGTTCACTGGAGAAAAGAAATGACATAATTTACCATTTGGCGTAAGTCTTTCTCTTTTCTCATTTGTATTTCATGAAATTGTTTTATAAAAAGTCATTATTTTGTAAGAACTAAACATTCTAATGTACATTTTTTATAAATTATACAACTTTCCTTGCACTCAACATTTAACCCCTTCAAGACCAGGATGACGCGATTTTCTTTTCATGGCGCATGGTATGATACACTAAGAAGAAATTCGTTACCTATTTTACTCAACAATTGAATATTCCGCTCAAATAAGGATAAAGTTTGGAATTGGAAGGTGAATTCCAGCTGGTATGCAATAGTACAGGAGTGAAATTTTCCCTCTTGTACAATTATGGAATGCACGCTGCGTGCATAGGTGGCACGTCAGATCATCAAATAATGTAGTTTTATCAAATTATATTCATTGAAGTCAATATTTCAGAAAAAAAACTATAATATTTGAGCCCATCAAAGGTGGATTCGGAAACAAATACGATCACCAGATAGCAAAATAAGATTTATTTTCAGTCAGCAAAAACCGTTTGATGTAAACCTAAAAAGTTTTTTATGTGGTTTGCGTGTAAATCTCCTAACCTTACAACGAGATCTGTGACAGTCTGCCCTATTCCTCGCACTTTACCTTAATCCAAAACCTTGGAAAACAACCTTCTATACAAATACCTTAAATAGAGGTTGCCCTAGGGTTTTCAAGAGTGAAAAAAATCATTGATCAAGGCGAAAATAATCTTAAATCTAGGTAACTATAAGGTTTCTTTCCGCAACGTCTTGTATGCTGTGCTAAAATCCACCTTGTCATGAAATTTTAAGGAATCAATTTGATCTTATCGCTAGTGTGAAAACGTGATTATGGATCTAAATGACGATTTTACATAAATGGCAATACTTTTTAAAAAAGCTTTAAAAGTAATTTTCATCCCCTTTTAGGATGAAAGATTTGAAACCGCAATATTTTTGCTTTATTGAAAAAAAGGTGCAAACATTTTCGTAACAATAAAAAAGAAAACATGCTTTCTGGGTTCTATAAATCGACATGTTCTGTAAATCGACTGGAAGAAATCGCCTTGCTTCAGGTATGAACAATTCAACAGCTAGCTAAGAAATTAATGCAGTCATACAATATAAACCCATAGTTCAAATTTTAAGCAGTGGTTAAATTATTTTATAATAGCTTTTAAAAGTAAATGTACTGAAATAATGTAAATCTATACGTCAAATTCTAAGCTCTAGTTTGCAAATTATTTTATAATAGCTTTAAAGAGTAAATGTTGTCAAACAATGTAAGTGTATAGTTCAAATTCTAAGCAGTGGTTTTCAAGATATTTTATAATAACTTTAGAGTCAAGCAATGTAAATCTATAGTTCGAATTCTAAGAAGTAGTTTGCAAATTATTTTATGATTACTAACGAGTAAATGTAGTCAAATAATGTAAATCTAAAGGTTAAATTTTAAGCAGCTGTTTGCAAATTATTTTATAATAGCTTTTAAGAGTAAATGTAGTCAAACAATGTAAATGTATAGTTCAAATTCTAAGCAGTGCTTTGCAAGATATTTTATAATAACTTTAGAGAGTAAATGTAGTCAAACTATGTAAATCTATAGTTCGAATTCTAAGCAGTGCTTTGCAGATTATTTCATAATAACTGAACAGTAAATGTAGTAAAACAATGTGAATCTAAAAGGGTCAAACTCTAAGCAGTGGCTTGCATATTATTTTATAATAACTAAAGAGTAAATGTAGTCAAACAATATAAATCTATAGCTCAAATTTCAAGCGGTGGTTTGCAGATTTTTTCATGGAAAGAAATAGAAATTAGAGCATTTTGAACACTTAAAAAATTTGTAATTTCACTATCAAAAATCAAAAATGGCTTTCCTTCTCTGCTGTAGTTGTCCGTTTTCTAAACGTTTTACCCATACATTTTTATTTTATTATGTATTTGCTTTTAGACGTAGCGTAGTTTCTTGTAACTATTTATTTTCTTTGCAAAAGAATTCTTTCTTAAGTTTTCTTTGCAAAAAAACGAATATTTAGCCGTCTGAATTAAGATTATGTTTATGAGGAGTTTTTCTTTTAAGATCTATAGTTTTGGCAATATTTGTTGGGCAGCATGTGGTGAAAATAAAGTACTTTTTTCTTGATTGAATTTTAAAGGTATGCTTGAGTTTCAATCTTAAAATAAATGAGTTCTACTCTACAAGTATTTGCTGGCCATATTCTCTTTTGATTCGATTTTACCAACAAGCATAACAACTCTTCAGTTTTTTGTTGACTTTAATTGGTATATGAACTCTTGCAATCACATAATTGATCGTAATTGTATTTTTTTCTCTAGAAAATTCTTCAGTTGGCATAGTCATAAATATAATATGATACATTCAAAATGTCATTGAGAACTTATAAGATCATAATTAAAAAGTTTGTTTTATATTTAAATTAAATAATTTTGCATGCTATGATTGTGATTTACACGTTGAAATTACCATACGGATGGGAGGTGCTTAATATTTTTTTTGTTTAAAATCTCGACTTTTTTAGAATACTTTAATGTTAGAGTTCTTTAAAGTTCAAATTTCGACATTTAAGTTTGATCAAATTTTATTATGTTTTCAAATTGGTTCTGAACTGAAGAAAAATTAATTGTTTAAATGCTCTAGAAGACTGAAATAATTGAAAAATGAATCGAAGATTAGTGCAACAAATCACATTAGTAAATTTCAGTGTCAAAGAAATATTGTTTCATTCAATTAAAAGACAGCAATAAATAATTAAAACTAGTTAAAAATCTTAAAATAGTAAAACATTGAAAAAAAAACATCAATTGTGTGAACGAGGGGTAGACTTCTTTTAATTTTGAAAGAAACTTAACTTTATTTTTGCCCCAAAATGTGTTTCAGAACCTTAAAATTATGAAATTCTCAGAAAATAAACAAATTTCATGAATTTATTATACTTTCATTTTGTTCTCATCTTTACTAATACGCGTGTTTCTAACTGTAGTTGCTTTGACGGTTTGAAATGCATTTTGTATACTAACTTATATTATTGCCATACATTTAATCAACATGATAGTTATCTTAAATTTCCACAAATTAACTTATATCCTTCATACAAAATCCAGTTTAAACATCAGCATAACTACAGTGATACACGAAAATCAGCATACACCTTTCAAAATTAACAGAAACTTATTTATTTCAAATATTTACCCAAGAATTGAATTCAATTTAGCTTAAATTGATTAGAAATAAAAAATTGATGAGCAAAAACAGCAGTTTTTTTATCATTAGACATAAAATAATATAAAATATTGGAGAATCAGTCATTTCGCAAGTCACGAAAGTGAACATACAGGAAATTCTACGTTTGAAATTTCCATATTTTAATATTTAGTTGGTCCACCTTTTGAATTTAAAACAGCTCTCATACGATTAGGCATTGAATAGACCAGTCCTTCGGTTACAGTGCGGGGAATTTTTTGCCATTCTTCAAGCAATGCCTTTTTAAGATCGTCTTTGCTTGTAATTTGCCTTTTTCTGATACTTCTGTCCAGTTCATACCATAAATTTTCGATAGGATTCAGGTCGGGGCTTGGAGGAGGGGAGTGCAGTTGTCTTGGAGTGTTGTACAACAGCCATTCCTTGACAACACCAGCTGTGTGCTTTGGATCCTGATCTTGTTGGAATATCCAGTCATTTCCTATGCCTAATATTCTCACTGATTGCTTCAAATTGTTTTTCAATATATTCAAATAGACAAAACGATCCTTAGTGGTTTCTATAAAGACAAAATTGCCAACACCTAAAGCTGAAAAACAGCCCCAAACCATCACTGAACCTCCGCCATGTTTTACTGTAGGAATCAGATTCTTCATTTCTAACTTTGTTCCGGGTTGTCGCCAAACTTTTTGCTTACCATCCCAGCCAAAAATGTTAAATTTAGATTCGTCTGTAAAAATAAGTTTGCTCCAGTAATCGAAATTATCGTTTTCATGAAGATGCGCAAATGCTAATCTTTTGTCTCTATTGACTGTACTAATGAGAGGTTTTTTACAAGGAATTCTGCTATTATATCCTTCTTTTCTCAAGGCTCTTCTAACACATTCTGGATTTACATCAGTTTCGTTAACCTTCACAAGATGTTTGGCTATGTCTACTGCAGTAGTTTTCGGATTATTACGAATTGTTTGAATGATTTCTCTTTTATCTCTACCGTTCAATTTTGGTGGTCTACCAGTACGAGACAAGTTTTCCGTAGTTTCTGTCAAATTATATTTCCTTATTATTCCTTGCACTGTAGCTCTACTTCTACCAATAATTTGACATATTTGATTGAGTGATTTTGCCTCATTTTTCAATTTAATAACCAGTTCTCAGATTTCTAATGATGATTCAGTTCTTTTAGTTGCCGTTTTAAAATTAATGAAATAAATTTCATTCAAAAATCTCCTCTAAAGCTTATATAAAACAAGGCGCAATTCTTACAAATATATTAAGAGAATAAAAAGATGGCTAAATACCTGCAAAAATCTATTTAAATCCAACTGTATGCTCACTTTTGTGAGTTTGAAAAACGCATATTTTTAACTTAATCTGAAAATGATTATGATAATCTTAAAATGTTTCATGTCTATTAGACACATAATTATACAAATGCGTACTGATAGCTATACGAATTAGAAAAATAATTTTATTTCAAAAAATGGGAAAATTTGCTAGTGTATGCTGACTTTCGTGTATCACTGTATAATATAAATATTTATAACCTAATAATCTTGCAATAAATATGGTTTATATTCAAACTTTTCGAATTCACCTACTGTGATTATAGGTATAGTCCGGATACAGATTATTTATGTTTAAATTATTACTTAAATATGTACAAACTAGTGATTCTGCAATAATTGTAGTCAGTCACATTTTTACAAAAAACTTTTAACAATTAAAACTAAAATTAAAAATTGTTTAGTTTGTAAAATAATTTAGGATAAAAATTGATTACCGGCAGAAATTAAATTCCTTATATCTATTTTTTATAAATGCAGTGTCTTAAATTTAAAAGACACCCAAATGAAATTCAATCATTTCTAAATAAATAATTTATACTTTTGTAGTTCCTTTTCCACTGATTAGTTAAAAAATGAATGAATTTGTGAGATATTGCACATATACCTGAAGTCATGTTAGTTTTCAATGCGGAAGATAGCGAAAAATAATTTGACACTAGAACTTAAGCAAGATTCAGCTCAAAGAAATATTTTCCAGCGTATAATCATACACTTGTAGTTTATTGAGTAGTTATACACACTTGCGGAAAATAACTATTTTTTTATTACTCAAGAACAGCACCGTCACTAATTTAAATTATTCTCAAAGTGTTTTCATTGCATTTAACTTTGTTTTTTGAAAATCTGTTGCCATGGAAAATACGGAAGGATATAGTTGAAGTGCCTTACACTTGAAGTAATGCGATGATTTTATTTTATTTTTATAACCTTGACGTGAAAAATTATCTGTGGTTCAGAACAGACTAATAACTAAAATATTTTAAAAGTTATGAAACTTTCTAAAAATCGCTAATGTGGCGACATTTGACGAAAATTATGAAAATCATTGCCTTATTCTCAGTTTTTGAGCTCAGTTTTGAATGCAGCATTTGAGTAAGTTTTTAAATATTAAAAAATTTAGACCACAATCACTTTTCATTTTCACACTGTGGCTTTTTCTTTAAGATTGACGTTTTGCTCCATTTTCAAAATTAACCAAAACAGTGCTGGCTTTGGATTGACTAAATCTGACCTAACAGTCATCAATAGCAGTTGCAAATTCTCAGCAGTTAGAAAAATAGCATAATATTTGCAAAAAATAAACATCATTTCATATTACTATGGAGCTTTCGAAAAAAAATGGATTAACCTTAAATATATAACTGATATGAGATGATTGATGAGATGAAAATACATTAGATGAAATGATATTATTAAATGAGATAATATTGATTGATATGATAAAATGATATGATAAAATGATATGATGAAATGATTTGATAAAATGATATGATAAAATAATATGATAAAATTATATGATAATATGTAATACTAGCGATTGATATGATAAAATGACATAGTGCAATTTTACATCATCTAGTTTGAATTTTTTTTTTATCTTGTATAATATGAATTTTCCATAATTCAATTTAGAATCATATTAATTTTCATAGTATAAAGTAGGGAAAATTAATCCTGATTATAACTGAAATAATATTAAAGATAGTTGATAATGTACGAGAGTTTATAAGTGAACAGGAGAAATTGAAAAATTTTAATGCTATATCAAAATTAAAAAATACTAATTTTTAAAAGTTTCATAATTCTAGAAACATTATTCGACTTATTTGCTTCCAATTTTAAAATTTTTCCCTCCAAATTACGAAAATTAACATTGTGCAGAAATTTCGAAGCCTTACAATATCAAGCGTTTTCAACCATTTGTAGAAAAGAAAGAAAACTAATGAATAATTATTAAAAAATATCGTTCTTTTACATAAATGTATCTTTGGGTAAACAGATATTGTAATTGTACACAAAAATGTTTTGATTTGCTTTGAAAGTTTTGCTAAAAAGTCTCAGCTATGTCATCACTTCAATCTCGATGATTGTTTTATATTAATTGTTTTTTTATGGCATAAAACAGTTTTTTTAATTTATATTTTTTTTACGAAATTTGAAATTTTACTCCTGAAATGCTAAAGATATTAAAAAGAATTTGTCTTGGTTCGTCTTGTATACTAACTCATATTAGAGCAACAAATTTAATCAATAATGACGTGTGTCAACGTTACCGAGAGGTTTGAAGTCGTCATTCTGGAAAAACAAAAAGGCCGAGTTCGATCCTCAGAACTCGAAGAAAATGTAAAAATCGTTAAATATATCATAAGCTTATATTTATTATTCCTGTATCTTCTAAAAGTTTCTAGAATGTTCTAATTTGTCATTTCCTGTTCCGTTATTTAGTAACATAGAAAATCACGTGTTTCAAGCCAGTTACTTTGTTCCCTGTACGTTAGAAAATTCTTAATAAATCTCTTTAATTCTCTTGACAGATTTAAATTCATTCTACGTGACAATATGATCGTAATATTATATATCCGTAAATTAAGTTACCATTCTTAGCTATGTCATACACTCAAAAACTAATTTAAATATCTGTATAGCTATAATTTAAATATCTATGATTTAATAATCATACAATAAATATTGTTTATATTCTAGTTTAGAAAAACTTACTTACTGTGGTAATAGGCATCGTCCGGATACAGATTGCCTATGCTTAATTTATCTCTTAAATTATCACTTAAAGCTGTACTAACTAATGACGCCGCAATAAGTAAAATCAGACACATTTTTACTCAAACTTTTAACACACAAAAGCCAAACTGAAAATACTTTAGTTTGATAACTTTTCTAATCGAAAAGTTGTATGACAGGCAGAAAATAAATTCTTTTTATTATGTTTCTAAATTGCTATGTCATAACTTAAATTGACTCCCGAATGAAATTTATTTATTTCAAAATCCTTAATTTATTATTTCTTGTTTCTCTTACTACAAACAAACTATTTGAATTAAATAGCTGTATTTGCTAGATATTGCACATATATCAGAGGTCAATTTAGTTTTCTATATGCGAGGGAAAGAAATATAATCTAGGATATAGATAAAGCAAGATTCGGTTCAAAGGTAATATATGCACCTGTTTAAACACTTATAATTGGACTTAACTAAGCTTTGTCTGTCCTAATTTTAATTTTAATTTTTCAAAAATTGCATCATCACAAATTTAAAAGATTTTTATTGCTTTCAGATGTATAACTCACGTGAGTTATAAATGAAATGATGGTTGGGATGAAATTATATCAATATATGAAATGTATAACTCTCTCGTAAATGTATAACTCGCATGATTTAGAAATGAGATCATAGATCAGATGAAATGATATCAAAATATGAAATAACATTGATTGATAGGATAAAGTTATATCAATAGATTAGATGAAATAATGTAATTTAATATAATCCCTTCTCAATATTATTTTATTAAAATCTAGAATAATATTAATCTTCCATAATTAGATTTAGAATTATATTAACTTTTAATGTGTAAAGTAGTGAATAATAATTTTACTCATACCTGAAATAATATTTATGTATTTAAAGATAAGTCATGATGTGTATGAGGAATCAGAGAAATCCATTACTACTATGTGAAAATTTAAAAATACTAAACTCTCTTAAAATACTTAGATTTCAGGAAATATTATTCCACCAAAGACCTAATTTTTCTTTTAAAATTGCATAATTTAATATTGTGTAAAAATTCGTTAACCTCATAAGTCAAAAAAATTTCAAATTTCGACCATAAGAAAAAGAAAACTAATAAACGATTATTCACTTACGAGGGTTGCTATTTATATTTCTGGTCTTGGCAACAGTAAGTGTTACTAGGCAACCGCAGACGATTTTAATCGAAAGTTTGATATTTTTAAACATAAATTCAGCAGACGATTTACCATTATAGCTTCATTTGTGTTGTTGACAGTAAATTGAAAAGTTCTTCTCTTTCAAAAAATGGAATTGAATCGTGAACATTTTCGTGCCATTATTTTTCATAACTTTCGACGTGGATTGTCAAGACAAGAGTGCTTCGATGAACTTAATTCTTTATTCAGCGATAAAGCGCCATCCTACAGCACTGTAAAAAATTGGTATAACGAATTTAATCGTGGTCGATGTTCGATCCAGGACGAATCCCGTGCAGGTCGTCCAAAATCCGTTGTTGTGCCAGAAAAGATCGATGCTGTGCGTGAACTGATAAAGCAAGATCGTCATGTGACATACCGTGAGATAGAGGCGTCTTTGGACATTAGTATGACTAGCATCAATAAAATATTGCATGAACATTTGAGCGTAAAAAAAATTTGTTCGCGTTGGATCCCGCATAATCTGACAAACGCTCAAAAAAAGGCTCGTGTCGATTGGTGCAAGGAAATGTTGGAAAAATACGTTCAAGGTACATCAAAGGCTGTGTATAACATCTACACAGGTGACGAATCATGGATCTATGCATATGAGCCGGAAACTAATTACTAGTTAACTGTATGGGTCTTCCAAGACGAGGCAAAACCAACAAAAGTTGTTCGAGGAAGAAGCACATCGAATCAAATCATTGCTTTTTTCTTCGGCATTAACGGTCATGTGGGAACAGTGGTGTTTGAGCAACGCAGGACGGTCAATTCTGAATGGTACATGACCATTTGTTTGCCCGAAGTCATCGGAGAAATTCGAAAAAAGCAGAAGAACAGGCGAATCATTCTTCATCATGACAATGCAAGCTCTCACACACCGACTCAAACAAAGGCATTTCTGACGGAGCGAAAGATCGAACTGATGGGTCATCCGTCCGTACAGCCCTGATTTGGCACCCAATGACTTCTTCTTATTCCCACACATCAAAAATAAATTACGTGGACAACGATTTTCGACCCCCGAAGAAGCGGTTGATACATTCAAAACGCATGTTTTGGAGTTACCTCAATCTGACTGAAAAAAATTGCTTTGAAAATTGGTTCAAACGCATGCAAAAGTGTATTGATCATCATGAAGAATATTTTGAAAAACAATAAAACCAATTTCGATCCTACATATTTGTTTTTTCATTATTAGGTCAGAAATATAAATAGCAACCCTCGTATTCTTGGATAAAACGATCTTAAAATTGCATGCAAAAGCGTTACGAATTGCGTAAAAATCTCGTTGCCGCTCATCAACCCCGATGACTTGCAACATCATGAATAGCTCACCCCCGCAGTTGAAGGTGCGGGAACTGGAGAGGAGGCTGCATCTTTGAAAGAAGAGTTTCAGATGAAGAGCACACGCCGCCTGGGTGAAGAAAATATTTTTCTGGTGACTATTTTTGTTGTATTTAGGTGGAGACATTTATAATTTTGTCTATGAACACAAGAGATCAATGGTGGCTCAGGGGATAGAGCGTTTTCCTCCCAATGATGTGAACCGGGTTCGCATCCCAACCATGGCTGGTCGATACGAATTCCGCACCCAGTTCGCATCGATCACAGTGATGACGTAAAACATTCTCAGTCGTAGACGGATCATGGGTTAGAGTCCCCTTGCCGCCAGGCAAACCGTGAAAAAAATTCGTGGTTTTCATCTCCTTGTAACGCAAATGCGGGTTAGTTTCACCAAGAAGTCCTCCATGAAGGCTAATCTCTCACACTCCTTGGTCCAGGAGCTCCCATGTCTTCTAGAATGGGTTCAAAATTACAAGGCAACGAAGTTGAACATTAGTAGTCGCAAACCTCGTTGTAAATTAGTAGTCGCATTAGTAGTCGTTCTACTTACATTACCATAATCTAAAACCTTGGAAAATAGCCTTCTATATAAAATCCTGAAATCAAGGTTGTCTTAGGGTTTCCAAGCGAGAAAAAAAAATCCTTGAATAAAGCTAGTCTCAAGGTGAAAATAATCTAGGTCATTATAAGGTTTCTTTTCGCAAAGTCTTGTATGCTCAGCTAAAATACACCTTGTCATGAAATTTTAATGGACAATGCTATTTGATACTATCGCTTAGATGACGCTTAGATCAATATGGATCTAAGTGACTATTTTACGTAAGTGACAATACTCTTTAAAAAATACTCTAAAAATAATTTTTAACCCTTTTAGAATGAAAGGTATGAAACTGTAATATTTTTGCTCTATTGTATAAAGGTTTTGAGAGGAAACATTTTCTTGACAATGAAAAAAAATTCTGACACGCACGTCCTTTCAATTTAACTTTCAACGAAACAAACAACAAATGAATACGGAAGATTCCGCATGCTTGCTATAATGCTCAAAGACTGTTATAACAGACTGCGCTGTTTTATACAAATAAGGGATAACACTCAGAACATGGTTAACCTTACACTTTATTTATGCTGTGATATTAGTTTTGATAAATTTCTTTTAGGCTCATGACCAGTTAGAATTTAAAAATTACAAAAAAATTTTATGAATGGAAAAATTTAGTATAAATTTAAACACAAATGACAATAATTAAACTTCCTAGAATATTAAGCCTGTTCACACATCTCCTCGTTAGCATAACATAAGCAGAGGGATACATCGGAAGTTTTATAAATTTCTTCCTGTTTTAGAAAGCATGTTATTGTTTACATTCAGTCAACCATCAAAAAGGATATTCACATCTTAATTTTCAAATTTCTTTAAATTGTATCAAATAAATTTGCAATCTATATTTTCGATCCACTCTTGTTCTGTTAATCCCAGTAGGAATTCGTGTAATTATTTTCTCTGTGCTACACGTTGGTGGTGAATATGGTGGTTGATGGTGACTACTCTACACCAAGTACACCTACTCTACAACATTCTGGGAGTTTCTTCTGCGACAGAAATCAAAAACGATTTAACTCACGAGTTCTTGATTATATACCATATGCTTAATCTATCCACTATTACCTAAAATGCTTAATAGAATATTTCGGCTCAAAAAATTGCCTCGATCTTTTGCTTCTCGAATTAGCAAAAATTCATGGTTCACCATTTCCGGATTTCGTAAGAAGAATAACTAGCTACCTTACAAAATTACAAAAAATATACGATATTTAAAATAGTGTTTAAATTCAGAGGTGTGACAGCTGGCCATATAAATTAATGAAGACTGAAATAAATGCAATCTAATTCATAATTTAATAAGGATTCATAACTACACGGCAATCAGAGGATTACAGAAATTATTTGGCTTCACAGTAGGGAGCTTTACCGGTGGTGTCCAAGAAATAATTGAGCTGATAGGGTGGTTTGACAGCGTGGAGTCCTATCCTGTTCTTGTATGGGGTGTTCTTGCAGAGACCATCCTTAAATGCTTCGTAGGAGAAGCATGCATATGAAGTGTACTTACAAGTATTGATGGAAGACTTGAAATTGTCTAGAGATCTCCTGTGGCTGCATAAGGGACCGGACTAAAGACCAGAGTAGCCGCGAGCTATAAATAAATATTNAGCGAGCATCGGATTGCGAAGCAATCCGAAATGAACTGCGAAAGCAGTTCCGGGGGTTGGCGAGCGCCAGCGAGCAGGGGGCGAAGCCTCCTAGTAATAAGTGAAAGCTTACATTTGACGATTTTTACATTTTCTTCGACTTCGGGGGATCGAACTCGGCATCTTTGTCTCTCCAGAACGACGACTTCAAACCTCTCGGCAACGTTGACACACGTCATTATTGATTAAATTTGTTGCTGTAATATGAGTTAGTATACATCAAGGCTACAACCAAGACAAATTCTTTTTAATATCTTTAGCATTTCCGGAGTAAAATTTCAAATTTCGGAAAAAAAATTTTAAAAAAAAACTGTTTTGTGCCATAAAATAACAATTAATATGAAACAATCATCGGGATTGATGACGTGGCTGCGACTTTTTAGCAAAACTTTCAAAGCAAATCAAAATATTTTTGTGTGCAATTACAATATCTGTTTACCCAAAGATAAATTTATGTAGAAGAGCAATATTTTTCAATAATTGTTTATTAGTTTTCTTTTTTTTTCTACAAATGGTTGAAAACGTTTTATATTGTAAGGCTTCCAGATTTCTGCACAATA